AAAGCGGAAATGGAATTTATATTGCGATGATTTGAGAGAAATCTGTACTGAAGAGGACTCAATCTAAGAGTCGAAACGTCTACTATTCTTCAATAAAGGGATCATTTGCGCTATTAGAACTGCGTCGGCTCTTAAGGGCATTTATTTAATCATATATAATTGTTTTTTTTAAATAATATATTAGAATTATATGAAGTTTTTGATATTATAATATTTTTAATATAATGTATGTTCAATAGTTAGAAATTGTTTATAATTTTTATTTTTTATTTTAAAACAAAAATAAAAATGCAAATAAAAATAAAAATCTGTCACACTTCGTACACACGTACTTTAATTGCATTTTTTAAAACTTGTGTTCTTTACGTTTATGAAGAAATAGATCGTACGAAGATGAACATTCTGTAGAACACGTTCTACAAATCACAACTCTTTTCTCGTGTATCGTTTGAGTATGGTCTTTGAAATATTGCTCCTCCCCGAAGTAAATATTGCAATCATTACAATAAAATATTTGGTCGTTTTGGTTAACAGTTTCTGAAAAACTTTGACCATCCTCTGTAGTTCTATTTGTAACAAAGTCAGAGCTGTTATCAATTTTATTGAGGCTTGCATCAGATCTCCATATTTCATTTTAATAATCCCTCTCTCATAATCTATCTCAGTAGCTATGTACGTTTCTAAATCAGCTGACACTACAGTTTCGTTATGTTCCTTTGAAGGAACAGCTTCCTTTTTGTAATTAATTTCGTTAATTTCCTCTCGTTCTGTATTCGAATCATTCTGAATATTTTTTTTATCTATCACGTTCTGTGTATCATTTTGATAATTCCGAGCGTCCTTCTGTAGTATTATTTGTAAAAATAGCAGAGATTTTATTAATTTGTCCTTGGTTTTCAGATATTCATCTTTTATTTTGGTAATGTCTATCTCAGAATCATCTATCGCTAAGTCAACTGACGCTACCGTTTCATTATGTCTCGTTAAAGTAACAGTTTCCTTTTCGTTAATATCCTCTCGTTCTGATTCCCAATCATTCTGAATATTTTTCTCATCTGTAATCTGCTGTGTATCATTTTGATATTTTTGAGTGTTTTCTTTATCTGTAATCTCTCGTTTAATACTTTGACGATTGATCTCTGTAATTTTATTCGTACTTTTGTCTGTACAGACAGCATCGTTTTGCTTCTCATCTAATTGCATTCGCAGACGTTTATCTATTTTTATTGCAGTAAGATTGTAACTGATATTTAAATAATTTGAACACCATCTGCATACATTGGTTGGCAGTTTATCATCTGGAGAAATCTAGAAAGAACACGAAGAATATAATGTTATTCATAATATATTATGTAATAAATACATAAGTTTAAAAGGTTAAACGTGCCGAATAATCATACAACTCTTAAACTTACATTGATTGGTAAACATTTATTTATTTCTTCAAGAATATTGTTATCGTTATCTTGAAATATTGATATATAGTTTAGAGACTCTTCTCCACACAAACGACATATTTCACTTTTCTCATGAGGCATTGTATTTATATTGGTACAGTCTTTTACCTTTGTAATTGTTTCATGTCTCTACAAAGATTTTATATCTAAATGAAATCAGCAGATACTATTTCACAAATCAAACATGTTTTAGAAAATAAATTAAAACGGATTTAATATCTGCTTTATTATTGTAAGCTAAATGTTTAATGTAAATTACATATTTTTTTCATAAAGATATCTAATAAATATGTATTACGTATGTCCATATAAATTATATATTATACATATACATACCATAAACCATATATATATCAAAGACTTAACTGAATAACAATAAGTTTTGTACAGTTCAGTCAAGGTGCATTATTTTATTATGTCGCTCAATGTTTTTAATCTTTAACATATTTAATTTCAGATGTAATTTAATAATTTCCCGTCATATGTGAAGATTATGCTGATCATTATATGGATATCAATATCTCAAGCTATTCAGCTCATCCAATCTTAGCAATGATTTTCCTATAATGTCACATTGAAAAGAGAAAAGAGTTTAATTTTTTATATTAAATATATATACATATATCAAGAGGCACGGTAGTGTCTCACGTCAAGTATGCGCGCCCGTATACGAGCCGTGAGACCGATCTGTGTCTCTTCAAGTGATATGTTTCATTTGTAGATAACATACATCTTGCAACATTTTTTTCAAACAAAAGGAAAGGCGTTAAATATTGCGCTATTCGAACAAGAACTATTACACTAAATTTAAAAAAATTTAAGTGATATGTGGAATCATTCGCACGCACACAATTCGCACACCACACAAGAAAGGTTTGGAGTCATAAAATACTGTGGAGCTAACGAACGGGAACCTTATCTTAGCAACTTGTGATGCTCAATAAATAAATTTACCTGGGCCGACATTGGTCAATATGGTAAATATTTATAAAATAGGTTATTTTTATCTCTTTAAACATTTAAAAGAAACTAATAAAATAACTAATAAAATTTGATTTTTCGATTGCATTTATAGGATCTATAAGTGATGGTGGTGTATGGAGTAGGTCGAAATTTGGAAATGATCTTGAAAAAGGAAACGTTAATCTTCCTCCACCTAAAAATTTATCACTAACAAATATTTCTATGCGTTATATGTTCGTAGGAAATGAAGCTTTTCCGCTAAAAATGTATTTAATTCAACCATACAATAGAAAGGATTTGGGAAATGCAGAACGCGTCTTTAATTTATCGCGCTTATCTAGAGCGAGCAGAATTATTGAGAATACATTCGGTTTATTAGTTTCTCGTTAGCAAATATTAACTAAAACTATAAATTGCTCTCCCGACAATGTTAAACATATAATAAAAGGATTAGTTTGTATACATAATTATGATTTTGATCGGGACAATATCGTTATCTTGGATGAAGAAACTCATTTAAAAAAACGCCTCATTTCCAAAATGATACATATTAAAAAACAATTCAACGGTCTAAACCTACAAAGTGACACAGAGCTTCTTGATCCATGCTATTC